AAACGGTCCGAATATTATTGGCGCGTCTGTACTGTTGACTCCCGCCAGAAATATTTTTTGGTATTTAATATTTATTTTTTTCAGAAATAATATTTGGACCGAAAACGGTCTGAATATTATTGGCGCGTTTATACTGTGACTCCCGCCAGAAATATACGGACCGATACCGGTCCGAATATGTTCATTAGTATATTTTCTCCCACTTGAATATATTCAGACCGATATTGGTCCGAATATTTATTTTTTTGGACCGACACTATTCGGTCCGTATATGGTCGGTCCGTATACGTCATTTTTCTAGTAGTGTTACTATGAACACATCGAAAAAATAGATGGTTGTAAGTTTTAAAGACTCATCCACAAAAAACACAATCAGAATAAACTACCACACCCCTTCTATTTAGTAAACATTTAGTCTCAATCTCAACAACACATTAAAAAAAAGAAAAAAAACACATGAGAAAAAAAAATTATACAACAGAAAAGTAAGAGGAAAAGAAAAGGCTCAGCACCAGCACATGAAGTGTTGTCTTATAGCATAAGAAAACACAACTCACTTTATGAGGAACGTCAGTAGTAATAAATTTCTTCTCATTCTCCTTTGTTCTTTTTTCATTATTTTTTCTGATTTAGCTGCTAAAGTCTTCTACAATTTATGCAACTCCCAATAGGTTCCCATTTGATGCCTACTCCTTCCAAAGAATCACATAAATAAAAATGAAAATATTAAAACAGAAAAACCAAGTAGTTTCCAAATGTTTCTAATTCTTCAAAATAAAACCATGACTTTGCCTTTTTCCCTTCCACATCCAAACAGTTCTCTCTTCTAATATTACTGGTAAAGTAAAATCTTGTGCTTCCACTATCTTTTATTCTTGATAATTCTTCAACTAACCTTGCTTTTACATCTTTTTCAACTCAAAGACCTTTCATGGGCTTCTGTTAATTATTGTTGACATAGCCTTTGCTTGTTAGTCTATTATCAAATACCATGAACAACTCTAGGTTCAAATCATTTAGTGAGATAAGAACTGATAATATGATCACCAATAACAACTCAACTTTTCAGATCTCAGTACCATGTTTGGGGCTGTAGCAATGCCAAGCATCTTGAAATTAAATATATATTTTGAAATTTGGTGCAGTAGAAATTTAAAAATCAGACCACAATTTAAAAGAATCAATATTCTCACCTAAATTTTAACTTTTGTCACAAATATGCAGTGCAGGGGAGAAACGATGAGTGGGAGATGTGGTGTCCTCTTTGAAATCCACAAGTCCTTTTTTTTTTTTTTTTTTTGAGTGAAAGAAATCCATGTCTGTGAAACGGGATAGATGAACCCAGTTAATACACTTGACAAACAGTGACTTTCCCCTTTATGTGGTACATGTGATCCATAATATAAAGAGAAATTTGTAAAATTATCATCTAAGATGTTTAGAATATTTAGTAAAAAAGCTTACAATAATGACAGAAAGAAAAATAACATCACTTATGGAAGAAAAATGTTTGGGAGAAGGGTATTTGTAGATCTTCTGTCAAATAAGGAGTAGCTCTATTCTGTGTGGGAAGAACTTTATTCTAGTCCATGGTAAGAGCTTTGTATATTATAATGTCATACTTAATATATTCTCCAAAGAACCCGACTAAACTTGAAATTGTTGGGGAAAAAGACAATAGAGAAGGGCACTGCGCTATGTACTCAATGCCCAAATTTGGTAATAGTGATGAGAACCTGAAAGAGAACAATGAGACCCACAGCACGACAAATGATTTTTGAAACTCCAGGAAAAGCAAATCAAGTTTATGATAAAACTTTGATCTATTGTTTATGTCGCAACAAGAATCAGAGGTAAGAACCTTGATCCATTATCTATGACGCAATAAGAACCAGAGGTATAAATTTGGTTGATGCTACACCCTCGAACGGTTAAGAATGAGAATGATAAGTCAGGTTAGAATGCCGTAAGAACAATCTTGAAAAGTTTTGTAAAGTTCTGAAACGAATCAAAAAGAAAAGTCTCTAAAAAAAACTTAGATTTAATCGCTCCCCCAATTAGGGTTACAAGCCCTTTAAATAGGAAAAACTAATCATAATCAGAATAGGAAACTAACACCCTAAATCCTAAATTTAATAACCACAAATTGAGCTTTAAATAAATGAATGTTCAATTCAAAAATAATACAAAAAACATAAAAATCACTCAAAATAACCTAAAATAATATGAAATATCAGTTTTCTACAAATTGCGATAGAATTGTACAATTTTGACGCAAATTGTGTAATTCAATGGAAATGACTTCAATTAATCTTCTCTTGAACTTGGATGATGTTTACCATGCCTTGATAATCATCCAAGTTTCGATTTACTTGTTGCATGTTGTTTTAAACCCAGATTTGCTCAATAAAGCCATTTAAAACTTCTTGCATCTTCTTAACTCTAGCTCTCGTGATTGGACCTTCTTGAATGTGTACTGAATCCCTTGACATGGTACATGTGCTATTGTTTTGATTCTCATCAAATAGGAAATTATTTTGCATACCCTTCTGTGCATACCCTTCCATCATTCCCTAATTCCTAAATATTTTGACCACCATTATAGTTCCACTTGCGTCTGGGAAGAACATATTAACAAACTAACAAAAAAATATGCAAAAAAAATATTTGAGAAGCAATTATAATATGTAGAAAGCAATCATGTGAGAGGAAAAATTAAAATATAAAATAAGAGATACAGAGAAACAAAATTTTGAGAGGAAATTCATGGACTTTGGATTGTGCTTTTGCTGCAAATTGCAGACTTGAAGTGAAATACCTGGATTGTTGCTTAGAAATTGCAAACTGGAAGTGGAGATGAAAAAAAATAAATGCAGTTGGAGAAGTTCCCCAATTGAATTTTCTTGTGGAGGAGCAGTCTCAGGCTTATATAACTTTAGACATCAATTTTCTAGAATCTTGAGGGCAAATATTGATGAAGCCATATCTAGGGAAAAACAAATTTTAAAAAGTTTGTTTTCCTGAAGCTTACAGCATCACCTAAATAATAACCATTTAAAGTGAATAAAGATCAAACTTTAGAAAATAGGTTTAAGAAATGAACATGGTACAAGATTGTGTTTCACAAATCTATTACCCTTGTAGAAAATTATTTCTATCCACATTACCTTTCCAAGTACTGCCTCACTTTTGGAATGTCTAGATTAACTTATACCTTTGTTGTCGAGAGACTTATTGGATGTATCTCTCCTGCATAATCCTAAATTAGTACAACCAAATTCTCATAACAAGGTAAAGCTATATATAAATTATTCTCTGTAGCTAAGTTTTTCTTAGCCTTAAAACTTAACTCACGTTCATATGCCTTAATTGACAAAGATGTGACAACAAAAACTTAGGTTGTGTGCTGTCCCTTACAAATCGTCCAAATGAGATAGGTGGGGTATGACCCTGTTCATAAACAAAAATAAAATAAAAAGAGTTAAAAAATGAATAGGATAGAATCTTGATTGTATCAATACAATAACTACATAAGATTTTTAGAAATGCATTTGTCACAGCCAATCCAATTGAGAGATCAGCAATGAAAGTGTCATGATCAATCTTGTCCCTGCAAGCAAATAATTTTTATACAATTTGTAAACAGAACACCAAAATGGCAATACTACAATTCCTAAAGTTTAAAGCTGAAATCCAAACCATATTCTCCAATATGAAAACAACCTTAGAAGCACTTAAATTCTCAAATCAGACACAATTCCCATATTCTACACAATTACAACTGATGCCTCTTCACAATTCACATATCCAAGGAAAATATGGAAATTTGGAAACAAAATTGGGAAATCTAGATAAATAACAACAGAAATTGGTAGGAGACCAATCCTTGGTGATATAGTGATGAAAATCAAAACAAATGTCATTATTGGGAAGGACAAATCAAAACCAATTTTTGTTTGTTAGCTTTTTAGTAACACTACTAGAAAAATGATTAATTCAAACCAATTATATACAGACCGAATCATGTCAGTCTGTATAAATATATATTTAGACGGTCCGAATATATTAAAGTGGTACCAAATCCATTAATCAAAATATTCGGACACGTTTCATTCCGTATATTTATGGCAGGAATTAACAGTGCAAACGCGCCAATAATATTCAAACCGAAGATGGTTCGAATATTTTTTAGGTAAAAATAAATATTAAATAACAAAAGATTAAGAATAAAATATTATTTAAATGAATATGTATGGACCATAATCGGTCTGTATATATAACTCAGAAAATGTCGATGTTCATTTAATATTCGGATCGATTTCGGTTTGAATATCCATAAATATTCAAACCGAAGATGGTTTGAATATTTTTTAGTAAAAAATAAATATTAAATAACAAAAATTAGAAATAAAATATTATTTAAATAAAGATATATGGACCAAAATCGGTCGGTATATATCATTAGTAAAGTGTCGAGATTCATTGAATATACGGACCATTACTGATCTGAATATTTGTAATATACAGACTAAAATCGGTCTAAAAATAGGCGTTAGAGATTCCCTGAACTGATGAGACGTTGGGGCCCACTGCCAGATTTATACGGACCGATGGTTGTCTACAGCTTTCATCCTCTTGGTGCCTGTCCCCTCCCCTACTGCAATCTATCTACGATTTTCCTCTGTTTTTTTCTTCCTTGATGCTGCAAGCTTCTCCCCCTCCAATCTCTGGCCAACCACAAAGGTAAATAACGTCTTCCCACCGGTTAGTGGCCGACGATCTCGTTGGTGTAATTTTTTTTTGACAACCTAACATTTTTTTTTTTTTTTGCAGATTTGCTATGTTTATCGCTAGATCTGGGAATCTACAAGTATATTGGTCTCTAATCTACCCTATAAGTGAGTTTTCTGAATTTTTTTCTTTTTATTTCAAA